CTCCCTCTCTCCCTCCGTCCCTCCCTCCTCTGTCGTCTCCAGAGCGGTAGGGAAACAACCCTGGCTTCCAGAAAATTCGATCAGCCACTTACTGACTGGGAATTTAAATGTCGCATAAGCTCTCTGAGAACTAGTTTCCTAATCTGTGAAAACTGTTCTCTGAGTGATCCTGATAGTTAAATGAAGTCTTTAAACGTTGCAACAGAACCATATGCCAGTGGCGTTTATCACTGGCATTTATATTCCTGATTTCAGTGAAAATAAAAATTGTGACAAAGAACATGGATAGAAGAAAGTTTTGAGGTATGGAATTAAAAGGCACCTGGTCCCAATAGGCAATGGAGGTTGAAGGGGAAGGTGGAATAAAAAACAGCTGAGATTTTTAGTCTAGAAGTTTTGTGTTGTAACAAACTAAAACAGATCAAAGTTCAAATTTCAACTACTCCGTTTGCTGTGGGAACCTGGACAGTGATTTAACCCTTTTGAGCACTGAGTCCTCCTTTGGCAAAATGGAGATAGTAATATTTTTATCTCCTAGAGTTGTTGGAGCATTATCTAACTGAAAGGTACTTAATTCTGAATTAGGTTGAATGTTAAATAAACCAGGATTTTGCTTGATAAATGGAATAAATTTACGGTGTGAATAGTACAGGCATACCTCGTTTTATTGCACTTAGCTTTATTTCACTTCACAGATGTGTTTTTTACAAACTGAAGGCAAGACCTTCCAACAGCAAAAAGATTACGACTCACATTATTGCTATACTCACTTCATTGCAGTGGTCTGGAACCAAATCCACAATATCTCTGAGGTTTGCCTATGTAGTATATGGATGGAACTGTCCCACAGAAAAGACACATTTCTTCCCAGGACACATGAAAAAGTTAATGAAAATTGAAGACATTTAGGCCACAAAGGAAGTTTCAAAAATTCTAAAGTGTCAATCTTAAAATTCAAAATATAAATGCCAAAAGTTTAGAAATCAACTGAAGAAAGACAGCTATCAAATACATGTTTAGAAACTAATTAATTCATGGATTTAAAAAGCCAATAATCTACAGAAAATAAGAGAGTTTATCAAAGTTCAGTATGCAAAAACCAATTGCATTTCTGTATTTTAGCAACAGTTAATGTAATCTTCAAAAAGGCATAATTAATAAGAGCATCAAAAACATAAATTGCCTAAATATTAATCTAATAAAATATGTGTGAGACCTTTGCAGAGAAAAATCATAAAATTTTATTAGAATCTTAAAAATAAATAGATGCCAGTTTCTGAAAAGAAAAATTCAATAGTAAATTCTCTTTTTCCCCAACTGATGTATAGATTTACTACAATGACAATAAAAAAATCTTAATTTTTTTCTGTATTTTGAGAAATTACCCCTAAATTTTATGTGCAAGAGCAAAGGGCTACCAACAGCAAAGAAATTACCCCTAAATTTTATGTGCAAGAGCAAAGGGCTAACAACAGCAAAAACACTCCAAAGGAGGAAAAGTAGGAAATTTTAATTAAGAAGCCATGATATTAACACAGAAATAGACCAATAAAATCATAAAGTCCACAAAAAAGACCCACATATTTACAAAATTTTGATATATCACAGTGTCTGGCATCAAGAATCAGTGTGTATAGGGTGGACTTTTCAATAAATTATATAGGTATAATTGTTATCTGTATGAAAACAATGAAATTAGACCCTTTCATTACCTCACAAAGCTCCAGGTGAGTTAGCATTAAAGGCAAAACTAACACCCTTTGGAAGACATATAGGAGATTATCTTTGATAATTATCTTTGATAGAGAAGAAAAATCTTTAAAAAGCACAACCATAAAGGAAATGATTGATATGTTTTCAGTGAAAGACTCCTTAAAGAATGTGAAATTTAAAAAAATGTTTGCAATGTATACATATAGTGGATAAAAGATTAATAATCAGAATGTAGGAAAAATTCCAATACCCAACAGAAAAATGGTTAAAAGACTTGAAGATACTCAAGGTCATTGCACTGTAGTAATCAGTGAAAGGCAAATTGAAACAATGAGATACTATTTCACACCTCCATATAGCCTTTTTTTAAAATATGACAATTTCAGACAAGTGGTCAGGATATGGAGCAACAGGGACTCATATCCACAGTTGGTGAAAATGTGAATTAGCATAGGAAAATAATTTGGCATGATCTTGTAAAGATGAAGATGGAAAGATAAACATGCCCCATGAAATAGTAATTCTATTCTTAGGTATATACTCTTGAGAAATTATTGTACTAGAATATCAGGAGATAATCTACAAAAATGTTCATTGCATTGTTTGTAATAGTAAAAATACAGGAAATGACACAATGTTCATCAGCAGAATGGATGAATAAATCGTAGCATATTTATATGACGGAATATCATACAGCAGTGAAAATTATTCAGCTGCAGATATATACAACAACAGAATAAAAAAAATGAACAAATAAGCAGTATATTGTTTAAGGACATAAACTTCAAGGGAAAGACAAATTTAAAAATTAGAACAGTAGGTACTCTAAGGGGAGGCGCACACAGGGCTTCAGAGGAATGGTCATTTTCTTACAGTGGGTAGTGGGAACACTGGTGTTTGCTGTGTTATCATTCTTTATGCTTTGCACATTTTGTAAGTACTCTTTTTTTTATCTATGCAAAATTTATTTTTAGAATTTTCAAAAATTAAATCACATTGGAAATAAAAATAGTTAGATGATTCTTATCATATTGATGTCATCAGTGGGTTCCAGACCATATGGAGGCCTGACACATGGAGTTGTGAAATGTAGCCAGTGCTGTGTTCACAGTGTTGGTGGTGATTTTCCCAAGGTGGGCTTCTCCCCCATCTTCCTCTGTTTTGTCTTTGTTAGAACCATGGTAGATCCCTAGTCAGAGGAGAAGCTTCTAATTTGGTGGGTTTCAGTTGTTGTTGTTTTTTGTTTTTTTTTAAGATAAATTTTGTTACATAAAATTAAAAATTTAATTATGTAAGTGTATAATTTAGTGGCTTTTTAAAGTATATCTTCAAAGTTTTGCAACCATCACCACTCTACATATATTCCAGAGCATTTTCATCATCCCCAAAAGAAACCCTTACCTTCCAATTCCCATCCACTAGCAGCCACCAATCTACTTTCTGTCACTATGGATTTACATATTCTGGGTATTTCATAAAAATGGAATTATATAATATGTGGCCTTTTGTGAGTGGCTTTTTTTTTCACTTAACATGTTTTCAAAGTCTGTCCATATTGTAGCATGTATCAGAACTTCATTCCCTTTATGGCTGAGTAATATTTCATTGTATGGCTATACCACATTTTGTTTGTCCATTCATTCGTTGATGGACATTTCAGTTTTTTCCATTTTTGTCTGTTGAGAATAGTGCTGCTCTGAGCATTCTTGTACAGGTTTTTATGTGAACATGTTTCAGTTCTCTTAATATACAGGGGTGGACAAATATAGGTTTACAGTTGCAAGTACATGAAATGCAGAGTTTATTCTTGTATTATTTATTCTTATATTAGATATTTTTTTATATGAACAGCTGTAAACCTACTTTTGCCCAAACTTATATACATAGGAATGGAATTACTGGGTTGTATGGTGACTTCCATGAGAAGCTTTTAATTTTCCTGTTATATTTCACCTGGGTCATTTACCATCATGAAAGGCCAGTGCTTCATAAAAGACTGCATCATCAAAAATGCATTCAATCAGATGTTTGGCATAAAAAAATGTTTTCACAAGTTTCATTACACCTTGACTCTCTGAAGCATCATGGATAAATAGTCCCATGTCAAGATAAAAAACATAGCTTGAAGTGGTCCCATTTCCTGACCATTGGTAATGATCCCCACTTTCTTATGCTAAAAGGCACCCACACAGGATTAGATGATGCCAAGATCACTGCTCTTTGATTGTTGGGAAGGATGGTCTGGCTTGTCAGAGAAAGATGCTGCTGAGTTCAGTCTGACCTCTTGTTCTTTGTAGATGGACTCTGGAGGCCTAGGGAGAAACTTCTAAAACTATATTTTTTTCACTTTCCTCTATTACCTGTTACCTCAGGGACTGATTCTTCTATTTGTTTAGTTTAAGGCCTCTCTCTTTCATGCTGTTGTGTTCTATAAAAGTTGGGTGATTTTCAACTGCTCATATTGTAAATGAAGGTGCAGATTGGATGGTTTGGGTGTGGTACCTAGAGTGTATTTCCTTAGTCTCTGTGAGAATTTCTGTTCAGCTTGTGTGGAAAGCCAGCACCCTGGCGTCTGTGAGTTACCTGAACAGTTATCCACTAGTTACTTCATTAGTCCAGTTATCCACTCTAGCACTTATCAGAATTCCCAATGTGGAGAGCTGTGCTTGGGTGCTAACCTTGGTGATGCATGTGGCGTTATCTCTCCAATGGCAGATGAAGGGACACTAACCCAGCTGTTCCAGCATCCTTTCATTTTCTGACTGATCACCTACAGCCATTCTTCTCCCGGCCTTTCTTTACTTAGATCTGGGCATTGGACACTTCTGACTCATGATTTGCCGGCCATAAGGTCCTGTCTTCTACCTATGTGGGCCATAGACTCTCCAGCTGCCACTGTGTTGCCATCTGCTTTTTATCATCCAAAAACTCATCTTCTAAACTTCTGGTAGCACCACTCTTGGCTTTCCAACATTGAAATGGATGTATTTTCATTTTGTGTTTCTTCTGACATTTCAGCAGGAGTTGGGGATGAAGGAAAATATATCTTTGTAATTGACATTTTCTTTTCTCTTATCTAGGTCAGGACAGTCCAATCCAACCTTTTATCTCCAGAAGGGCTTTCAAAAATATGTACTCAGAAAAAAACCACCTGGTTCACTTCTCCCTAAAGCACATAAGGTATGGTATACAAATGCTATAATACATTCCCTATTGACAAATAAATGCATTTTATACACACAAAAACAATTTAAATTGCTTTTAAAAGTCATCTCATGATCATTAATAATAGAAAATGAATTTTATTTCTTAGATAAAAATTTCACTTGAATTATATTTCCTGTTTTTATTTTGAAAAAGGACTTGAAACTGAAATTTAGTCTATCTTTAGAGTCTTAATCTTGGACAACACCCAGTCCTCTTGTGGATTTTATTCCTTCCTGTATAATTGACCAGAAATATAGTCATCTAGTGAATATTTTCAGTGCTGCTCATTTATAGATGTTTTGTACTTTGGTTGTATATTTAAATTACGTTTTTAAAAGCACATTATATCTTATAACAATATCTGTTCATAGAATTATTCTAAAATATTTTCTATAACAATCCCCTGATCTTTGATGATAAAAAGAAATATTTAAATAATCATTTTATAGTATTCTCTAAATACTAGCCTTAGTGAGAATTATAAAAGATTTTTTAAATTGAGTCTTTCTGTTTTCAGAAAACATTATCTGTGAATTTTTAGAGAAGAAAATAGCAAAAGATAGAAATCAAAGTCCTGGAGAACATTAATATTTATAATTAGACTATTATTATAATCATGTGTAACAGGTGCTTCCCAGGCCCAGCTTCTTCCCAGTCCATTGAAGGGTGGGCTTAGTATCACAGTAATGGAAAATGCTGATTTTTTACTTCCTTGAGCCCATATCAGATTCCCAGAAACATGAAGTAACTTGGATGCTTAAGATTAAAAAAAAATTGGATAGCTTTTTTTTAATCCTTACCCAAGGATATGTTTATATTGATTTTTAGAGAGAGAGAAAGAAAGAGAGAGAGAGAGAGAGAGAGAGAGAGAGAAACACCAGTGTGAGAGAGAAACATCTGTCGGTTGCCTCCCACATGCCCCCGGTCTGGGATCAAACCCACAACCTTTTGGTGTATGAGCCGCCCGGCCAGGGCAAGTTAGGTAACTTTTATTTAGCCTTAACATGGCATGGCTGAAGGAGAATCCCTACCTCTCCTGAGATTTATGCCCCAATAAACAGCTCTACTTGACTTTCTTTTTGGTAGCATCCTACCAGAAGACATTAGAACATAACATAATGCTCTCAGCCCAAGGATCTAGAGTACTTTGTTTCAAGTCCTTTTATTTTTCTCAAGTCTGCATTGAAAAAAAGCAGTGCTCCCACACTGTCTTCCACTTTGTGACTCCCTAACGCTTTTGTCCCCTCCCCTATCCCAGCCACTCCCATTTTCCAGCTGCAGGATGGCTATAAACACTTCTTTCTATAGCCATTGGCACCACTGGCTTCTCTCACCTCGGTCCTGGGTTCAATCACTTCCCTGCTCTAGTTATTGCAACGGCAGCTGCTTTATCCCTGCTGTCAAAGTGAGCTGCATGGTTTCTTCTCAGGAGGAGTCAGTCACCACTGCCTGAGTCTGGAACAAGGAGACTTTGCATGCAGACGAGTCAGTATCACAGTTTTATAAGCTATGTCCTCAGGTCCTGAGTGATAGGCCCATTCTTCTCACTATTTTATTTGAGTTCCTGCTTCAGTACCAGCTTGCCTCTCATTGCCTCATTTCCCAATAGTTATCTTGAGCTTTACAGCAGCCTCAGTTACCAGGAAGGATCCTCGTAACCCTACCTTGGAAAGAAGTACCTCCATTGATGTCCAGAAGGAGCCATTGCTTTTTCCTTCTGCCAATACCCACTGGCCTCCCTCAGCATCCTGTAGCTGACTGTGCCCAAAGCATTAGAATAAAGACTTGCCCGAGCCCCCTTGGGAGACATGAGAGAGACAGAGTGAGCCAGTGATCAGGGAACTGCTGAGAACAAAGAGATGTTTATGATAATATCTGTGAAATATTGTGGTCAGGATCTGTTGCCTTCATATTGCCAGAGCCAGGATGAAGTCCCATGAATATGCCTATCCTATTTAGTCTAATAAAATTATCATATTTCATTGCTGGCCTAATTTATGATGATAATAATTGAACTAAGACTACATTTAAGGAAAGTAATAAGGAAATTGTTATCCTCTGGGTCATTTTAAAATTAAATTCTAGCTTTAATGTTAGCTCACAAATAGTTATTAAATTTATATTGTTCTGATTTTTAATAATTTATCACCCTATTTAGATTGATAGAGAATTTAAAGTCCAGAAAGCTTTGTTTTCTATTGGATTCCCTGTTCCCAAGCCTCTATTGTACTGCAGCGATGCTTCTGTCATTGGAACAGAATTTTACGTGATGGAACATGTGCAGGTAAATTAACACTTAATTTACTTTGTTGTTGCTTTTGTTTTCAATTAAGAAATTAGATGTTAATAAATGATAGTTTATTAATCAGCATTCTAGGTAATTCATTTGTTTTGCAAGTTTAAACTTTTAATTTGAGCACAGTGTTTCCCTCTAGGTGTCAGTAAAGAGCTATATGTAACAGTAATAACCAAACTGTCCAGAAGGTAGGGGGAAAAAAACAACAAAGTGAAAATCAATCTATTAAAAAAGATAAATTTAAATTGTTTAAAAGATTTTTCTTTTGTAAAATATAACTTGAGAGTTGTTTTTGTCCTGTAAGTTCATCTTGGCATATCTTCATATTTTTCCTTTGTCATATATACTCTTATATTAGACATGTTTCACAAATGAATGTTTTTCTAGCATATTCTACAAAGTATTGGTTTTGGTTGCAAAACTGTTATCCTGCTATGTTTTGTAGGCAATAGAGGATGGGGACTCTGCAAAGAGTTACTATGAAAATATTCAATTTGTTTTAAATTATCTATTGTAATTGCTTCCATAGGGTCGAATTTTTCGTGATTTCTCAATTCCTGGAGTTAGCCCAGCAGAACGTTCAGCCATATATGTGGCCGTGATAGAAACCTTGGCTCGGTTACATTCTTTGAATATAAAGTCATTGCATCTGGAAGGATATGGTATAGGTGCTGGGTACTGTAAAAGACAGGTAAGGAATCCATATACAGAGCTCTTTTTCTCAAGTTCTTGGAAATAATATTCATTATTAGTCAAAATAAAAACCTATTACTTTATGCTTTTCTGAAACTAGGCTCTAACATTTAAAATACTTTTTTAAAAAATTGATTTTAGAGAGAGGGAGGGAGGGAGAGAAAGAGAGAGAGAAGGAGAGAAAGAGAGAGAGAAACATTGATTGGTTGCCTCTCGCATGCACCCCAACCAGGGATCAAACCCGAAACCTGAGTATGTGCCTGACCAGGAATTGAGCCACCACCTTTGGCTGACGGGCGATATTCGAACCAACTGAGCCACTTGGCCAGGGTGGCCCTAACATTTAATATCAGCCTTCAGTTTGACTTGTTTTAAGCATAAAATAATTTTATATTCTTAGATCAGGTTTTGTTTAGCAAGCTTCTGTAACTGACAGAATGTACATGAATGCAAATTTAAAGCTGTTTCAGCCTTTCCACTTAATTTACCAACATATTTTTTATACAGTTTTTCCTTTTTAAGTTAGGTTAACAGATATTAAGCATGACTGTTTAATATGTGCTAAGTACTGTGTTAAATATCAAGAAAATAGAAATAAGTCCTTTCCCCAAAGGAACTATGGTCATTTTAAGAATGAATCTTACTTACATGAAACTTGAAAATGGTATAAAAGAGTATGTAATCTAGTAGTAAGTCGTTTGGTAATCATCACAAGAGCTGCTCCATTCAGACGATAGATAGCAGTATGCCCTTGCTTAAGTGGGAAAGCTTCCTGGGCGAGATATATCTTATACTGTGTATTTTAGGAAGAGAAAAATCTAGAGTGGTAGGGAAGAGGTGGGGGGCACTTAAAATCAAAGGAGCAGCAAGACCAGATATGTGTGGGACTGGGTTCCTTTGTACATATGTCTTTTAGACGGGGTTGAGGGGAGAGAGAGAAGAACTACGGTTTAGAGAGTACTCACTGTATGCCAGGTCTTTTTAATCTTTGTAACAGCCACATAAGTATTATGTCTCTTTTTTAATCTTTGTAAAGCCCTAAGACATAGGTTTTATTACTCCCATTTTGCAGATGGGGATACATGTTTACAGGTGTCAAAACACAAGTAAGTGGCTTAGACATAATTTAAACCCAGGTCTATATGATTCCAAACATAAAGATCTTTTACTGCACGAAATTGAACAGAGATTACCTTGGGGAGTGGAGAGATAGATATAAGCAGATAAATAATATGGTCTCAGTTGATGGAGCACTTTGAAAATAGGTTAATTTGTTTACATTCGAATCTAAGAACAATAAGTCTTTCCACTTCTCATACCTATTATATATTTAGAAGATTCTGTAGTCAATAAGAAAGGGTATTTAAATGAAAAATAAAACCTCCCTTCTTCTTTTAGCCCACATATTTCCCTTTTCAGGGATTGTTGCTTGTGACTCTTCCATAATTTATTTTTCTAAACCTATTTGTATCTGTGTGTGTGCATTTTTTTTTCTTCCTCAAAATAGTTGCTTAATAAAAACAAGATCCCACATCCCTTGATTCCTAGGCCAGTGTTGTGTGTGTGTGATAAAAATCTATGTAAGTAAAATGGAGCTAGATGGAAGAAAGACTTAAGTGTTTAAGTTTTTAGGCTGATATTAGTGTTTTAGCATCACTTACAGCCATTTGTCTTGAGCATTTAAAAATATAACCAACTTTGATATAATTGAATTTTGTTTTTAGAATGACTGGATCTTACGTTCCACCTTTAGCTCTGTCATTTTTCTTTTTTATATACCTCTAGGTATCAACCTGGACAAAGCAATATCAAGCTGCAGCCCATCAGGACATTCCTGCCATGAACCAGCTCTCTGACTGGCTAATGAAAAACTTGCCAGATAATGACAATGAAGAAAATTTGATTCATGGAGATTTCAAGCTAGATAACATAGTTTTCCACCCTAAAGAGGTACTGTAAGCTACATTTACAATAAATTAAGTGGGTCTGATAGGAGACACATGTACTAAGTAGATGTTCCTCCCAGAGTGCTGGAGGAGCCCAACCCACTCCCACCTTTCCCTACATTCAGAACTGTCTTCACCACTCAAACTTTTATAAATGAGTCCGACAGATCTTCTGACATAGGTAGCTGCCTACCTTTAAGGATGGGTCTAATCCTGAGTGGTATCTGATTTACTGTTTAAATAGGATTTGGGAGCTTACATGTATGTTGCTGTTTTCTTCAGAGACATTTTTCTTCTAAAAATATTTAGCTTATCCATGTTCATGTTTTTTCTTCTGGTTCACTTGTATTTCTTTTTCCTATTTCGTGAAGAATTTTAAATTTGATTATTATAAGCTCAGAGTGGAAAGGATTCCAAAAGCCCCTTTTGAGACATGGAAAAGAATTGCAGGAGATTAACGTAAGCTTGCTCTGTTTAATGTGCACAGAGTAGTCTTTATAAAGAGTACAAACCAATAAAAACTGTAACCCTCCTCCACTGGGCACTGACAGGGAAGCCTAGGATTAGAGGAGATGATGGGAGTGAAGAGATGACTTCAGTTCTCCTCTCATTACCTGTACTTTGGGAAGACACTTGGCCCTTAACATTCTGACATTAATGTGAAAAATTTACAGTTCCCTGAATCCTGCTTCTTAGAGAAACGTTTTCTGGGCTCATTAGTTTTCTCAGAATGCTAAGATGTTTTAGGGCAGGAAGAGCTGCTCTAAATTCATGGGTTTTTATATTTTTTCCCTATAGGAAAAGGACAGGAGAAAAATAGCATTATAAATTGCATTGTTATCATAATTGAAAGTTCAAATACAGTATAAACAGATGTGAGCACATTCACCAGCAAGACAAAATTTTTCCTAGAAAAATTTGGATATTAAAATTATGTATACATAATTATATATGTGTATGTGTAACCTGTTAATGGCACTAATGAGTTCTGAACTCTGACTTTGTTAAGTGTAGAGTAGGAGAATTGAAAATGCTAATTTATAACCTGGAAAAATTATAAAAGCTTATAACTTAAAACATAGCAGGATCTGACCTCTATTTGATCTATATCATTGGATTCATTATTATTTTAGGAGCCTATTTTTGAAAAAGTCTGAGCCCTCTATGTGTTCCATAACTATAATTCTGTTCTATTCACCACTTACGCAAGGAAGGAAAAATTCAGACCGAGATCTCCTGAATTGCGTATTATCTTCCAAGATGTTTACATTTTAGGATTAACATAATATGCTGAAAGTAGGTACAGTAAGTACCAAAAAGTTATCCTCTCTTTATATTTCATCTCACATTAGAAAATAACTTCTTATAGGATTAAAGTTGACAAACAGGTGTCATCTTCCTTTAGACAAGCAGAATATTCAATAGCTGGGGAGAGAAATTTCTTTTTAAAAAAAAGAAACAACTGGTAGTGGCACAGCTTTAAGCTATTTAGCTGTGCTACTAATTTGTTACCTTTATCATTACCTTTTTATGTTTTAGGATTATATAGTAACAAGTAAGATGTCTTCTACTTTTATCCAGTAATTCTGTAATTACTGGTTAAATCAAGTTTAATCAATTTCTGCCTCCTATAAATATTACAGCTAATTTTTTATGGAAGTAACATATGGTTGGCAGAGTACAAGTCAACTAGCTTTTATTCATCACCAATTATGTACTCTGACACATGTTTTTTAAAAGGAAATACAATTCTTAATAAGTTCAAAATACCGATGGAGATAAAAGATATTCAGGTAATGGATGAGAGCAATATATACCCAAGTACTAAAGTATATCACACACGTGAACAGTGAGAGTTGTCAAAGAGGGAAACCGCTGTGGACTGGCATGAAGAGCTATAAAACTTTATACTTCAATTTAGTCAATAGTTTGTCTTTTCCACTTCATTTTTAAAATTTTATAAGTAAATAGAAAATTAGACTATGTTTCTTTTGTATGAAGGCACTCCACAAATTGGAGGTGAATGTTCTTACCAGTATATATTTATAGGAATATGATTGAAAGCTTTTTGTTTTTCCCATGAGGGTAAGGATTTTTTTTACCTTTGCCTCTAGAGCCTATATGGTAGATCCTCAATAAACGAGGAACTATTAGACTGAGAGCTCCTTTAAGGCAGTGGCTGTGTCTTATTCATTTATGCAGCAGGTGGTTACATGTTTCTGAATGAATCCCTGTTGAGGGAATTGATTTTAGTGATCACTAAAGTTACTATTTCCATCTCATATATTTAATGCTTAATTTTTATTCCCTAGCAGTGTGACCCTGAAGCAAATTATTTAACCCCTCTCTGTTCCTTAATTTTTATTTTAACTTTTTATTTTTAAATAATTATAGACTCAAAAGAAGTTGTAAAAATAGTACAGTAGGGTCCTATGTTCCCATCATCCAGATTCCCCAAATGATTTCAAACAACTGTAGTATATTATCAGAGCCAGGAAATTTACATTGTGTGCCTTTCAAATGGGGGGCGGGTGGGAGGATTTCAAGGTTGCTGTTTTTTCTTCTTTTCTAAGACTGACAGTCTCTATTCTTCAGAAAAATACTAAGGTAAAAGTAAATTTTTCATAATATTTATTAAAATTTAAACAATAGTTGTAGGGGATGAAATTATAGGAGACTTAAAAGTTATACATTTCTGTAATGTTTAAGGTTTGAGGTTTTGTGGTTTTTTCTTTTTTTGCAAAACAGCATGTTTTATTTTTATCATCAGAAGACCAAACAATTAAGAAAGAAGACAACAATTTTAAGTGGTAAACCTTCCAGGAATGTGCGTGGTTAGACAGTAAAGGGTTACTAAGCGCATGCAAACAAAAGCGTATTACTCAACTTCCTAATCCCTAGTTGTTTTCCATTTACTTATAGGTAAAGTACTGAAGCATGTTCAAGTGTGTATTTCAGCAGTGCAACACACTCACTGAAATGTTTAAAAGAAATCCAGTGTTCTGGAAAATACTGTTAATATTCTAAATATAAATCTTACCCATCTGGCAGAGAAGTGTGTAAGATTTTGGAGTTTTATGTGCATACTGAAAGACAAATATTCTTCATTAGAAACATAAACCATAAATATTTCATCTGCATTAATTAGTAATCAGATATATTTAAAATAACAAATATATATGTGCATGTATGTGTATATATATATATATATATATATGTATATATGTGCATGGATACATTTATATCCTGCCTGGCCCATATGGCATGATCAACCATTAAAAAATTACCTTCGTCATTATCAATATACACCTACCCTCACACACACTGGTTCTTCACAACTCATCTGCCTTGCAGCCTTCTGTATATTAATTAACTTCTGAAGAAAAAAGTGATTTGATATGGAAAACAAAACTTGTACAGTATTTTTAGTGTTTTTTTTTCTTTTTAATTTTCCCCATTGTCTCTAAAATGTCAGTGTAGTTGGAGAAAAGCATAGTTGTAAATTTTAATTGTATTCCTAGGAAAGCTATGGAAATTGGGTTTTCTCAACTTTTTAACTTTACAGGATATTTTAAAAATTCTCTTTAGTAAATGCTCTGTGGTAGTAAAGTCAGGTTTTGAACTCAGGCCTATAGACTTCAGTGCTGTGCCATTCCTTCTACATTTACTGCTTCTCATCTCCACTGGAACTGGTCAACTTCAGTGACCTAGAAACTGAAGCCCCTTTCTTTGACCACGCCCTCTTCACTTTCTACTTCTCTTATTTCTTTACATGTCTCCTGAGATGCTGAAAATTTGATTGCTCTTATTCTAGAACCCAGGAACCCCCTATGACTTCATCTGACTGCTTCTCCTGCCTGGCCCATATGGCATGATCAACCATTAAAAACTACCTTCATTATTATCAATTGAATTAACTATTTCTTTTTTATTATAGTTTTAAAAAAATATATCTTTATTGATTTCAGAGAGAGGAAGGGAGAGGGAGAGAGAGATAAACATTAGTGATGAAAGAGCCATTGATCAGCTGCCTCCTACACCCCCCCAACTGGGGATGAAGCCGGCAATCCGGGCATGTACCCTGACCTGGAATTGAACCACGTTTGCCTGGATCCTAGGTCAGTGCTCAACCGCTGAGCCACGCCGGTTGGGCAGAATTAATAATTTCTTGACTGTGCATGTGTACAAGTAATACAAGAGTTATAAAGTTTCCTGTCCTTAGGTATCTTATTATTTCCAAATCTTCTCACCTCTTGACTTGACACAATCTCCAGCGCTGAGCTTGAGTCATCCTGTTTTTGCTGCAGAATAGCCGTGAGGACAGGTTAACTGGGTCTGGGAGAAATTTATGCTGCATAATTTCATCTAAGCCTTAAATTCACCTTTTTGTAAAATCTGTAATTTTTTAAAATGGCTTTTATACAAGCCCTCAGATTGCTTTTCTTATCTAGACTCCCACTCTTGGCATATGGTGTTGCCTTGTACTTGACTCATTTTTGTCTTTCTAGTCACTTCCTAGCACAAGCTGCTTTCTGGGGATTATATGCACCTTGAAGTTCTGATGTTGAAGACATCTCAGCCCTCTACATAATGTAATATCTCTTTCATGCAGATTGATAGGTGACATTTTTCTTAAGCCTCATTGTCAAGAAAATTTGTGACCCTTGAGCAGCTGGTTTGTCTTTAATCTACATACACTATCAACATTGTGGCTGATCATGCTTCACACTTTATTTTGTCCAGAGAAAACTCAGAGCAGACATTACTGTCTACACTAACTATATTTGACTTATGGCATTTCATTTTATGTAATAACCTTACTGCTAGTTTCATCTTCTTATTAAAAGTTCTGTTATCTCCTTCCCTGCCTTCTTCATCTACTGGTTGTCCTGTTGGCTTGCATTTTTCTTTTGTTTTGAGAAGGTAACATCCATACATTTTAATAAAATTTAATAATACAAAAAGCGTACATGGGAAAATAAAACTCAATGTAGAACATAATCAAGAAAAAGAAAAACATTTAGTTGTGCTGAGGTTTCAGAAAAATTGTCAGAAGTCATTTTATTAGTAAGTTTTTTAGCAGCAAGGTCAACCAGTAAATGTTCCTCTCAATCACTAGGAGTTACACTGAGCTTGTATAGCTCTGTACACAAAAAGGCATAGACAGGATTTTAATAAATTGCTAATTAGCTTACACTAATTGTTACAATTTTGTTAACCATCAGTTTTCTTACTGGCCATTGTTTTATAGCTTTGTGTAATTACCTAAAAAAGTTTCAGATGTCTTGAAAGGTAACTCTAGAGGGGATTCCCAATTTTCTCCAAGAAAAAGGTAAACAGTTATAGCCTAAGTGTTTCATCATCTTTTCTTTGGATGTTAAGAGCACAAGAACAAATAGAATGATAGAGAAAAATGCATCCAGTGTTTTTCTTTAGCTTATCAAATCTGGCTAGTGTAGAAGTTTATCATACAATATCACCACAACAATGACAGGTCTTATAAAGTCAAATCATGGAGGAGGGAAGGGATTAATTTTTCCCATAGTCCTAATCACAAATTTTTAATTGCCTGTTATTGCCAGGCTCTGTACTTATTCACTGAATAAATACATATTGGTCACCTACTATGTGCCAGGTACTTTGCTAGGAACTGACAAACAAAACAGACATACTACCGGCCTCAGTTAATTGTCACACATAACCCTATGCAAGGAGGTATATGTTGTGACTAAGAAAATTGAGGATCAAGAAGTGAACTGGCTTGTCCAGAATCACACAGCCAGTAAATGGTGGAGCTAGGGTTTGAATATAGATCTCTCTGATTCCAAAGTCCATATTTTTCCACAAAGCTACAATAATGTGTGCAGAGGAGCAAGGGACTGCAAGTATACACAAAGTTATATAAAGGCATGAAACCCAACAATTTACACTGCCCAGATGATCTCTGCTGTTTTACCTCGCTTGGATAATCTTACCTAGATTATTGCTGCAGCATCCTCACTGGCCCTGCTACAGTCTGTTCAAACATATCAGCCAGAGTGTCCCTCAAAAGGCAAATCCTACTATGTCTCTCCAGAACACTGTACAGAACACTCCAATGGAGGTTCCCTTCTCTATACCCCATCCCTCCCTCCTCAGTCTCTTGAAGTAACCACAGCCATTGCTATTAGTTTGGTGTATATCCTTTCAACTTTGAGTATTCACTTATAACCTTTTTTATTTAAACAAAAATACTATACAGCCCTGGCTGGGTAGCATAGTTGGTTAGAGCAACATCCTGAAATACAAAGTTGCAGGTTCGATCTCCAGTCAGGGCACATACAAGAAGTAATCAATGAATGCATAAATAAGTAGAACAACAAATCCTTGTCTCTTCTCTCTCTCTCTCTCTCCTCCCTTTTTCCCTCCCTTCCTCTCTCTAAAAAAAAAAAACTATACATGTACTTTGCAAATCACTTTCCCCCCTGTATTTACAGTCCTGTTTTCTTAACATAAAAATATATATTTTGTTGAAATATATTGTTACAAAGTAGAATGAAGAAATTTTGTTTTATTGATTCCAAATTACATGACTTATCATGTTGCTATATAATGGCAGATTTTGAATTCATAAAACAAACAGCATCTTTTATAATAATTATATCTTTGTATTTACACCATGAAATAATTTATTTTAAAAACTACTATTGCCATAAGATTATAATATTTGTTATGTAATAAGATTCACCACCAGACAAACTCTTAATTACTTATGGCATAGATTCTTAAATTATAAGTAAGTAATTATTAGAATTTCTTCTTTACCACAGTTATTCCCAGTTGAGAAGTTTCAACTGTTTTTGCCTCCACTCATTAGGCTGCGTAAAGTAAAATGCTGGAGAACTGATGGCCAGTAATGGAATCAGAGGACTCTACACAATCAAGGCTAATTAGTTAGTTGTTAAATGAGGTGTGCCACTGTGGGTAAAGACTACAAACTATAGTCTCAGCTTTGCTTTTGATAGAAAATATTGTTTTGAATGTATCCTATTTCACTTATTTCCTTATTTTAGTTGTTTTCAATTTAACATGTCCAGACCTTTTTATTGTTCATTACAGTCTCGAGTTATCGCTGTACTGGACTGGGAGCTTTCAACCATTGGCCATCCTTTGTCAGACTTAGCTCATCTCTCCCTGTGGTACTGGTGGCCAAGGACATGTCCAATGATAAATCAAGGCTTTTATTTACAGGAAAACATAGGTATGAAAACATAATGATGCCTAAATTGCTATTAATATAAATTTATCTTTATTATTCCTCATAACTTAAAAATGCAGTTATATTACAATTTTAGATAGCTTTTATTTGTTTTTAAAATGTTTCTAAATCATTTTATTCTTTATTGGTTTATTTTCTGAATATAGCGTTCCACTTTTAGTAATTTATGACAATGTGTAATCCTTTGTATGTAGTGTTCTTTTGGAAATCAATATTTAAAGCATGCTTTGTTATTGTGGAATAATGGTTATTTAATTTAATTTTATAAACATATGCAATATTATGACATTCTGAAATACTCACCGTGAAGTTTTATTAAAGTTTACAGTACATGCTGTTTTAATAGGGATGCCACCAGTGGAAGAACTGATTTCAATATATTGCCGCTTCAGGGGAATTAGTTCTGATTTTCCTAACTGGAATTTCTTCCTTGCCCTTGCATTTTTTAAGATTGCTGGAATATTACAGGTAATTAATTGTTTTTAACATGTTTCACCATTATTTATTAATGTACTATTGACAATATTTTCTGTCTTCCAGGGTTTTATACCTTTTACCCTTACATCATTTGGCTTTTCATAATAACAAATACCAGACATGAGTGAAATACAAATCCAGAATTAACAGAATAGGAATTTTGCAAGGAAAAAAGTTGAGTAGCAAAATGTGTGATCATTTTTTGGTATAATAAACTTAAAAGATGGAGGAAGGGAGAGAGACATAATGACTAAAAGAGAAAAGCTTGTGAGAATTGGCGATTTCCTGAATATTCAGTGTAAGACAGCTAAAATCTTTTCATGATATCTGCTTTAGTCTATAAATCCACATATTAACCAGGTGTGATGATAAGGAAAGAATTATCTTTGAAGCTCCCAAAGTCTAGCATAGTACCTATTATATAGTGGTCTCTTAAAACGTTTTTGACTGAATAGATGAGTAAATTTTTCCATTTTCTAATAATGTCATATTTATGTGACTAATTGAACATAAGTGCAGTTTCTTAAAATTGCAGCTTAATCTAAATAAGTGCATTCTTTATTATAGTAATTCAGTTCCCATGTACTTTTAATCTTGGATATTCATTTAAGAAATTGAAATATGTTATCAGTGGCAAGGGGCTATGGACTAGAGGAAGAAAAGCTAAGAGAATTTAGGAACAAAGGAGAATATGAAAGGAGGGATTAAGGACAACTGTGGTTGTATTTCTCTGTCCTCAGAGTTCATGCCACCCATGACCAACCAAAATCGTCTTCTAGGAAATAGCTGTGTTATGTCTCAGTCTGTATTTTACAATCATACTAACCATGTTCGTTAATCAAGGTGATTGGATGGGTTTCTCACAACAGGGTTTATGCTATGTTTCTATATCTATCAGTTTCCATAAATAGGATACCAAATAGGTTTTGAATTTAAAATGGATTTTCATTTCAAATAAAAGCTTGACATAGTTATGATTGAAACTAACGTCATAAATTATATACAGGGTGGGGCAAAAGTAGGTTTACAGTTGCTCATATGGAAAATAATACAATAGTTAATAAACAATAATACAGGAATAAACTCTGTGTTTCTTGTACTTACAACTGAAAACCTACTTTTGCCCCACCCTGTGGTAATAGCCTTAGAGATTATTATAAATATTCCATTCTAACTATAAACATGAAATTGGAAATAATGGAAAAACTGTTAGTTATATGAAGAATTACATAAAAAAATAAAGTAATGAAATTCAGTTGATTGTGTTTTGGTGGAGAGGCAGCGAGAGAAGAGTATATATTATTTTGGAAGCACAGAACATGGAGAATTAAGAAAGAAAAACTGGTTAGCATTCAGCTAACACTCTCCAAAGGAGACAGTTTCACCTAAAATAGGGGTCAAAAAATGAGACAAAATATTCTTAGAGGTCATCTCATTCCTTTTGGTTTTATGGTATGATTTTGTTTTGGTTTCTTTAGATTTTCCCTCACTCTGAAGGGGGAAAGCATTGATTTTTATAGGTGATATAACTTGCCAATTTGGTATCTTTGGTAACTGCTGAGCTTATTTTCAAGTTTGGTTTCATTCCCAGTTACAATTCTGTTAGGATGAGAGTGTATTAACCACACGATACAATGGCTCTTTCATTTGGGAGTGTGTGTGGGGTAATAATTATTCCTTCATGTAAATTAATAGAAATGATACTCTCATATATATGTTGGTACCTTGTGAGTTTAGTGACTCACATAGCTGGGAAACTGCAAAGACTGGATAGCTGAAGAGCAGTTTTCAATGATTTTCATTGCTCTATGTTAATTTACTTACAGGGAGTATATCGTAGATACCTTCTGGGAAATAATGCATCTGAGACTAGCTTTCAGTTTGCCAATATTGTGCAACCTCTGGCAGAAACTGGATTGCAACTCTCAAAAAGGTAAGAAAATAGATTTCCTTGGCTAATTCAAATTAGAGCCTTTATTGGGTATGTGGAGTTTATAAATTTTAGGGGGATATGGATTGTTTTTATTTCTTACACCAGGATTGGTGCTGCCAATCACAATAGTTTGCTTGGTAAATGTCTTATCTGCCTGAAAATAAATTGACTTCAAATATAAAGAAAATACCCATATTTATGATTAAAAGTATTTTTGACAACTTGAGTATATAAACTTTTAAGAATAGCGATACAACTCTCAAATGTTTCCTTCTAATATTTGTTACTTACATATACCTATTTAAAATTATAAATTATATAAGGTGATATATTAAATTTAGAAATATTGCTCTCTTCTACCATCACATGCCCTGAAATTTTAATCAGATTATTTTGTAAGTGTCTTTGAAATCCATGTCTCCATCAGTGGAGCACTTTTTGAGGCATATAATTAATACGCTTTACCAACCACACTCCCATAGAAGTGATGTGATATATGCCACTTACTGAATTGATGGATGATACTGTCTCTGGAAATTCTGCCCAAGCCCTGGGTACTTATGGCATAACATTAGGACATTGTGTTTTTACAGTTCACTTCATGGATGAATATTTGTGATCTCCACAACATAACAACTGACTGTGTTGCTCTTCATAATTATCTTTAGAGTTCTTGTTTATAATTATTAGATTTATGTTCAATTTCCTTGGTTTCTTCCCTACCCCAGCCCCTTTTTTAGGGATTCTAACAGGTGACTTCAATAAAGATTCAAAACGATCATTGATTGAGGTCATGCCAAGCATATGTTTTCCCCAAATAATGTTTAAGCATTAAAGTTTGATGTTCAAAATAAAGCAATTCTGCATTCACCCCATAATATAAAAGACTTAAAACATTTCCAAATATGGCAACTCCTGCCCTGGCCAGGTGGCTCAGTTGGGTGGAGTATCATCCTGTGCACCAAAATGTTTCAGGTTAGATTCCCAGTCAGGGCACATACCTAGGTTGCAGATTTGATCCCCGGTGGGGATACAAACAGGAGGCACCCAATTGATGTTTCTCCCTCACATCAATACTTCTCTCTCTTCTCTTCTCTTTTCTCTCTCTTTTCTCTCTCTCTCTCCCCTTCCTCTCTCTCTACATATCCTTAGGTAAGGATTTAAAAATGTATATATATGGTAACTCCTTCTGAGTACTACTTTGGGGGAGCTAGGGAAGGCTTCACATTATATTCAGAAATATAATAATTTTGGATATCTTTGTAACTTTTTTTCCCCACAAAGAACTTTCAGAACTACACCATCACAGACTGATACTACCCAAGAGTTGTTTGTTCAGACTAGGAGAGGCCAGGAAGTTCTTACGAGGGTGAAGCATTTCATGAAACAGTACATCCTTCCAGCTGAAAAGGCAAGTATGGTGTGAAAAGAATGTATTTGTGCTCAAGGACTATGAATTACTTCTGCTATCTGCGCTTCTAGGAGTACCATGGTATCATATCTTTGCAATCAGTCAGTCCTTAACAAGATGCCCCTCTTAACTTTCGCACTGAGCTGCTACAGACTTGATCCTGAAAAATCCCAAGCTTCTAAAATATGCCAAGGGAATGCTACAGATCAATGTGTGGAATTAAAATTAAGTCAAAAGATATTAACTTTTTTTGTAAAGTTGAGATCGTTAGTATATTAGAGTAAAACACTACCTTGGGGGCCTTATAACTTAGAATTTTTTTTTTTTTTAATGGACCCCTTTGAGAACTAAGAGAACTGTAGAGGAAACAAGACAGAAAATTTTGCATATCTTTGCAAGCTGTTCACAAACACTACTACATGCTACTACTTTAAGGTGTTCAGTTTCAATCAGTTCACTGAGGGTAAAGAAGTAACATGGTACATGCATTCATTCTGTTACCAGCTAATTATCAGGAATCTAATAATGGGTTAGGTACCTGGAGAGCCATTGAAAGTAAAAGAAAGAACAGGACGGACAGGGCTTATTCTCCTACGGAGCTTATACTTTAGCATGAAAGAAAGATATTAAATATGAGATGATAAGTGCTGTGATGAAGAGAGGAAAGCTGTTATGAAAATATGTAAGGCAGGTGGGTGGGCTATGTGTGTGGGTAGAACGCTGGTGTAGAAATGGTAAGGGTTTGAGCCTAGCCCATGTCTGCCATGAGTTAGGTGGTCTTGGGCACACAGCAGTCTCAGAGCCTCAAGTTCATCTGCATTGTGAACAGGTATTACTAGATATACAGTAAACTCCCATTTTAATCTTCTAGGATTCTGAAGTCTAGAGCCAGACTGGCAAAACCAAATAGGAAACTGAAAAAGACCAAAATTCTTTTGACAAAAACCTTCAGTCAATATGTGTTTACAGGGTGGTTAGTGTTATTGCTCAAATTACATGAATATTACATTTTTAGTAAAGATCTAGCATGAGATTAACTTTGCTTACAGAGTGGAGTATAGTATTTTAAAGAAAATACTACATTTTCTCCCCCCCACTTAGGTTTTGCCAGGTAGGTACTCTGGCTTTGATGAAGGGAAGAGATGATCTCTGATCCTCCCTCTTGCCCTGTTTGGGGCATTTGGCTTTGCCTCCTGACCCCTATGTGGCCCTTTAAAAACTAAGGCCCAGGCTGACGTCGATCAGCCTGCATCCCCCAGACAAACTTGGCCCCAGTGCTCTCACACCTGAAGAGTCAGCCTGGCTTTATTCCTGGCCTCTGAGGAATTTCCTTAATTTCCTTCCAGCACAGCTATGCATTACTAACTGTATTTTAAAAATTATTTTAAATATGTTACCTGCAATTTTTAGTTGTACCACCCTGGGAGGGGTTTCTATGACCATCTAGCGTGCCATGTTGCTGAAGGAAACATTCAGACTTTGGTGTAAGATTTTGGGAGTCTATTAACTAATATTGCGGGAGCGTAATTTTGTGAGCAGCAAGCCTCTAGAATACTTTACACTTCTGGTTTTAGAAAGAAATAGTATTGATTGAATTGCCTCTGAAAGAGCTGCTTCACCTAAATATGTTTTCCTTGGATAATAACAGTTTATGGCATTATTCACTTTGCAATAACTTTAGCTAATGACCTTTTTTCTTCTTATTACTTTTAGGAGGTAATTGAGTTCTATGTTCAAAATGAAAATTCAGCAGACAAGTGGAAGAAACCATCAGTGATTGAAAATCTCAAGGTAAGGAAATAAGAAACCCTTTAGCATTGGAAAATTTATATGCAGGAGTTTTGTAAAATCTTATTGTTGGTGCTGTTACTGTTATATATGTAGAGGATAATTATATCAGTAATAACTTTTTTTAAAAAAAGTTAAAAATAGCATCTGCAATATACAAATTAGATTACATAGTGCTTTACATATGGTATGTGATGAAGACAGCCTCTTACAGCTGTTCAGAGGAAAAACACCATCAACACTGCTCACTGGCATCAGCCACTAAATCGAGACTGAAGTCAAGGCAGGCATTTGTCTCACATGGGCTTAATTTCATGTTTTCAAATCCAAATAGCAACATATGTTAAAAATCACAATGCAAAAAGTAGTTATTTGGCTTAATTAGACTCCAGCATGGGAGCTTTTGTAAGAGCTATGTATGATTCAATAAGAAGGACTTGAACAAATTTAATTTTTCAGCCAAATCTAAGGAAGCTTAGAGGAAAAGTCATTTCTTTAAGTTAAGAAACTATTGATTTTTGATGAATTAATAGCTACTTGTTTTTGCACACTAGGATACAATGAAACAATTAACTTCATAAGTGTTTTTAAATTTCAAAAAGCATAAATGCCAATATTATTTTTAAAAAAACACTACTTTTGGTCATCGCAAATTACTGTTAGTCCGCATATTCATTACCTCGACAGGAAATGGCCAAAGCAGAGGGCCTCTGGAACTTGTTTCTGCCAGCGGCAAGCGGTCTCAGCCAGGTGGACTATGCCCTGATTGCTGAAGAAACTGGAAAATGCTTTTTTGCTCCAGATGTCTTTAACTGCCAAGCACCAGGTTACTATGTTACTTAAAAACAGACGTTCTCAGATATTTTGAGCAGTGTTTATAATTTCTCTATTTTATGACAAGATTGTTTTTCCTACAAGAAGTCATTGGTTTATAAATTTGTCTATAATTTTACTTTTTAGTTACTTTGATTTAAATATTTAAAAAAAGGATCTAATGTTCTCAATTGATTACTCTTTTGTTTAACATAATGACGTTAAGGGTTTTAGTGAACAGGATCTGCCACCAAAGGGACTGGCAGTGTGAGGACTGCAGTTTCCTGACTGGGTATTGTATGTTTCTATGGCTGGTTGGAATGAATAGAGAATTCCAAACCTTTTGGTTAGCCTCACTCTCTTTCCATTTATTCACCATCTATTTATAGATTATCTACTATGTGTCAAGCCCTGTTCTAGATCCTTGAAATATATCAAGGAATAAAATAAACAAAGATTCCTGCCCTCACGGAGTTGATATTCTAATGGAGGGAGGCAAAAATGCATAATAAATATAGTAAATAAATAAATTATGTAGTAAGTTTGAAGATAGAAAGTGCTTGGAAAAAAGAAAACTCAGTAGGGTAGGGGAGCTATGGAATGCTGAGGGAATATGGATTACGATTTAAAATAGAATGGTTGGGCTAGGCCTTATTTAGAAAATGACATTTGATAAGACTTGAAGGTGAGAGAGTTAGCCATGCTGATGTCTGGGGGAGAGTTTTCTTAGCACATGCACAGGCCCTAAGGCAGCAGTGTGATTGGTGTGTTCCAGGAGCAGCCAGGGAGGCCAGTGTGGCTGGGAGAAGAACAGTAGAGGATACCAGAGAGGACAGGGCCTTCTTCATACATTGGGCCTTATAGAGCCAGATAAGAGCTTAAAACAGTGAAATGGAAGCCATTGGGGATTTGAGCAGAGCAGTGACAAGATGTAACTTAGGTTTTAAAAGGATTTTGGCTACTATGTTGAGAATTAACAGAAGGAAGGAAGGAGGGAAGCAAGAGTCTGTTGTAATAATCCTAGTGAGGGATTATGGTGATTTGCTCTAGGATACTAGCAGTGGAAGGGGTAAGGAGTGGAAATCTCGATTCTAAATATACTTTGAAGGCAGAGCCAAGAGGATTTCCTGATTGGATCTGGGGTATAAATAAGGGAGTCAAGGATGCCGCTAAGAACTTTGACATGAAAATTGAAAGGATGAGGGAAGGAGGCCAGCTTTTCTTTAAAAAGATAATATGGAATGTAATCTATAGAAAGTGTTTTCAAACCTGGATTTGCAGAAGACCCACCTAAGAAACTTAAAAATAAAATGCAGATTCACAGGCTCCATCCCTGGAGATTCTGGTTCCTTAGGTCTAGGGTGGACCCTGGGAATGTCTTTTATATTTTTTTAAACATGATACTCTGATGCTGCCAATCAAGAACTAGCATTTGATTTCTAGTAGAAGGCTGATATAGTGTTCCTGCACAATAGGCCTTGGCATTGCCTTTTGTGCTTACTGTGTGGCTCTGGTGCTAACTCTCCCAAAGAGTGAATGAAGGTGGAACTGCCAAAAAGAGGCATATTGGATATCTGAGAGAAAACACCCTGGTGTTTTAGCACTGTGTCTTCCCTGTTCTTTGACTCTCATTTCTTTGGAACAATTGAGATAGTTCATAGACTTCTGTTAAAGGTTAAACTTGTCCCTGGTGTGGTTTTCCCCTCTTCAAAACCCTGATTTATCAAATTACTGTTGTACTACATTTTAATCTAATAATGAAGCTATTGTTAAAGTGAAGAAATATATTCACAAAGTTTCTAAAGATTCATCTCATTCGTGTGAAGCTATTACATCATGCTGCATAGGTGGCTTAATTTTGTGGAAAGAGAACTGGTTGTCTTTTGTTTAAAACTTTTTTTACTGTTACTCAGTAGTAAGAAATATATTTTATATTGTGACCCAATATGTAGCATATGTCTTCACTGATTAATGGATGGGGAGAGGGAGATATATTATTGAAAAAAGGCTTCATGAAACAAGTTTCCCTTACTGCATGCAATGCATTTGCATATTTTCCACTGAGTCTAATCTAATACATTCTATTTTGATTTATTTTAATTTTCATAGATTGTTAGCCGTAGTCCATTAAATTGATTTTACAACACTAATGGGTCATAATATGAAAAATAATGCTATAGAGGACACCCTTTGCAGTTGCAGCTCTGCCACTATTTCTCCATTTGACCTGTGCACTTAATTTTCACTAAATGGTCCTAGGGGTTTTTTTTAGTATTAAAATTTCCTGAGTCTGTCAGTTGTACTGTCTAAATGATAGCACTAAACTGCTAACATTTTAAAACTGGCCAGGGAAATACATTTTCTTCGATCAAAGTATGATCAACAACTCTCCTCAGCAAACCAGATGTGTCAAATCATAAGTAGAACACTAGGCATCTTCTTTTTGCAGTGGAGACATCTTCATGCAGGGCTTGGGGCGTTGTGTTTTGGAGCATTTCCAAAGCAGATAAAAAGGGTGTGTAAAGTTAAATACTTTGGGAGGTTTCTTAGGTGTAAAAGATGAATTTCTACTCAGGCTTCCCAAATTATTTCCCAAGTAGTTATAAAAGCTTATGGGAAACATATGTCATCTTCCAATTTGTCTTTTTTTGTTTTTTGCCCTTCAGTAAGTTATACAATATTGTATATTGGAATCTTGAGAATAGCAATTTTAATTCTAAAGCTATTACTAGATAATTTGGGCACCACTGGGCTGATTTGCGGGAGAAAATTGTAGACGTTAATTTATCTAAGGCTCTTTTCCCAACCCATAAATGATAGCTTTGTTTTGCCAGCTTCTCAGAATAAACTGGTAATTTTTGGAGAGTTTATATTCAATATTTACCTCATTTGAACTGTAACAAGAAACATTGAAAACAAGTGAAGAAAACACTGAGCTTCATTAGTTCCAACTCAGAACTCATTTTCTCCCTCAGTCAAAAGGAATTTTCAGCTTGTGTTAATCTACTAAGAATTTTGCATTTTAATATAACGTCAGCTCTGTTAGAAGTGTCTGAACAGAGTACAAACATATTTTGAGAGACTTACCTTAGACTTAACTCAATTTCCATAGGCATTTTAGTGACTATCCTTAAAGTCATTATAAGAGGTGATATTGAAAAATTCTGTAAAATCTTGTAAGTAATCAGTATTCAAGGGAAAGGTTTTAGAAAGTATTTTTAGAAATGCGATAGGAATGAAAATCAAAGAAAGGCATCTAAAGCATTCTGCTCTATGGCAGACATGAAGCTTTTTTTTTAAAACTGAGGGTGATTCTATGGTGTTATCATGTACTGAACAATGCCCTCTGAGGGTTGGAGAGGGTCTTTGACGTCATTGTCACTTTCTACCCAGGGCAGGGATTCTGTGTTTAGCATTCTTGAGATATGACCTAATACTTTTCTAGACAGTATGGGGTGCACAAAAGTAAGAGCAATGTTAGAGGTGAAGAGACAGTAATTACCATGTGAGTTAAGGAGGAGATATTTCCGACTGGGTAATCGGAGATTCTCCACAATGAAGGCGGCTCAGAAGCAGGAATTGACTTAGAATGATGGGTGGGATTCCACTGAGAGAGGGCCTGGTCGGAGCAGACGTGAGGAAGTGAGACAGCACAGGGTGTGTTTGAGGAACTGCTATCCCATTTTCCAGGAGTGTTGCAATCACTCCTGGCAGAGTGTATTTACAAGATACCAGGCAAGGGTTAGGCCAGCAAGTTGTTTTCCTCTGTCCTAATTGAGTTAGACCTCATGAAAGCCATGTTTTGTCCAGATGAAGTGGACAAGTGTCTGTGATCCAGAACAGGTTGCATAAACAGGCACTGAATGCCGCGTACTTACCGCACGCCTTCATTGTAAATTTGCTATTATGCTTCAAAATATCATTAGCAAACATTTGTTTTAAAAGGATGCATGTCTGTACTATATACATAAAGTTTGGACTTCACATTAGTAAATTTTTAAAGTCGAAACAAATGCTTTTCTTATTACATGTAGACACAGGGAACATGGAGCTGCTCCACATGTACGGAAGCGAGCAGCAGAAGCAGCAGTGGCTCGAGCCTCTTCTCCAAGGGAGCATTGCCTCCTGCTTCTGCATGACAGGTACGCAGGCCACAGCTCTCCCTGTGCAGCCAGCCCCCGCGTTGTTACGGATGAGCTGAAGAATGTGGGATGTGGCTCTGCAGTTCCGGCAAGTTTGCCCGTGGTCAGTTTTAAGTGCTGAAACTTTTAAATGTGCAGAATAAAATGACCCTCCCCTTAGGGAGGATTCCGGATGATGTTTCCCGGTGGCCTGCTTTAGGCATTAGCAGCAGAGTAAACCTATTTCATAACCTTTTGACTTGTATTTCTAAAACTGCCAACTATAGATATTTAAGATTTTTTTTGCCCTTATGTAGGAAATATTTGTCTTGTGATAATTTTATGTTGACACTTAAGAAATACTTAACTCTGCATAAATCCGGAAAAATAGAATTTCCACCAATGCTGGTCATATAGCTCAAATTATAATCATATGGGGGAATAAAGCTAGAGCATGTTAATAAAAATGGTTTGGTACCATTTGTACATAGGAAACAGTAATTAAGAACTCTTGAAAGGACAAACACATTATTTCATAATTGAGTTTAAAATTAAACTATATTTCATCTGGCCATAATTTTGGCCAGATTTTATTGTCTTCTATAACACTGCATACATTTATAATAGCAAAACCGACCTCCATTTAAATCAGTAAGAGGCACTTATTGAACACTTGCCATATGATGTGGTTATCTATAAAGCGCTAATTTGAGGTTACAAAATCAGTAGAGTACACAGCCCCCTTTCTAAAGGAAGTGAGTCTCTAATTTTAGAAAAAGAACACATGAAATATGTGAAGGACCCATTTAAAAGAGCATTAAATTACCAAGTGAAGATTACTGTGGTTGAGAGCTAGCCTGTAAATTCTGAAATGCCATGCCAAGCAGTTGTGTAAGAGTCCATGGAAAACTTCCTGAAGACATTAAGTGTTGAGCAGGCTTTATGGAATGCAAAATAAATAAGTTGGTGAAAGCATTCCTGACGGAATTTCCAAGGCACAGTTAGAAATTGTTTGAGATAGTGAACTGCATGGTACGGAAATCTGGCTTGCAGATATTTAGCACAGACTTCCGTTGTGGGGAGCAATGTTTTTAATCTACTTTTGATGACTGGGAAAATGATTGAGTTTTATCCCAAGTCACGTATCAATGAGGAAGCCAAGAACACAATTCAGATTGCTGATCCCCACTGTTCTAAATACTTCATTCATTCATCTTCCAATGCACGTGTACTGAATACCTACTATTTGTAGGTTATGGGAGAACCAGGGTAGAATGGGGGAACGATAGGAAGATGAGAGAGACAAAGATGCTCTCTCTGTCCTCTAAGTCTCTTTGGTAAACAGTTGGTATCAGCCTTCCTGTAAATTCAGCCTTTGCTTATTTATAGAGCCGGATGTAGCATCCAGTGATGCCACAAATATTGAATGCAGCATCCAACGAGATGGCGACAGCTATGTAGTCAACGGCAAGAAGTGGTGGAGCAGTGGTGAGTACTCGGACCGACCCTTTGTGCTGCATGCTGTGCTGGAATAATATGAACATAGTTATGTTTTATGATCACAGTTCTTTCAATTCTGCCTTAGCATTTTCAGATTTAGAAACAGTTGATAAAAAGAGAAGTAACTTAAAAATAACGTGTCTTGATTAGGTGATGTTTATTTTAAGAGCAGAAAGCATCGTGTTTTTTTTTTACAGTTCGTGAAAGATAAAATTCATATTACTGCACAATATTTTTGACCATTATAATTTCTATCAAAATTAAAGTTTAATAGGGACATATCACATGGACTATAATAATTTATATATAATTGTTTTTAAAGAGAAACTGTACATGTTATTAAAATAATTTATTGTGATACATATTTCCATTGCTTAAAAATACAAGTGTTCAAATGAAAATTAAGAATCTTTATACATAGAAAAATGCATTGTTTGGTCAACTCTCAGTAATACACTCAGATAAATGGATGAACCCTTTAGAAAGTTATAAAAATAACAGATTATATTAACAATCAGATATGATTGCCTGAGGATTGCTTCTGAGTATACATGATAAATCTAATGGGAAAACCAGCTTATTACTAAAGAAAGGTGATGTATGCAAGCAAACTGTGTGTTTAGAAACTTACCATAAGTGTATTAAAAGGGCCAGAAAAGCTTTTTATGCACTTTTTGTTGATGATTGTTATTATGAAATCACTTACAAATTAAAAAACAAGAAGGATAGATTAAATTTTGCTGTATAGTTATTCAAATATTGAAATCATGCAGGGAAATCATTCTTACATAATTTAAAATAATTATAAATGCCCCTTAATATAAGCCTCTTTATTAATGTTTTAGATGGCCTAACTTATAGCATAATGTTTTTATTATTTATGCCTGTTACTATTCTTTTCCGATATTGCTCATTTTAATTTTCATGTTTTATGCACTGATTATTCTGTTTCCTGTTCTTTGTGGCTTCTACCCTGCCCCCTTCCTGACCACAACCTCTTCTTTGTAGTAAGTTGCCACCACAGTGTTTGAAATTTGAATTTCAGAATAATGCAGATGTTTTATCTGAGGGAGAAGCATCACCCATGTGTATTGAAGCAAGATACAGGGCAGTTTTACATTTAAATGCTGAATGTACTGGTTGGCTGTGTAGGGGCTTCAGAATCGAAAGGAATCTCCTCCACATTTTGTCTTTGTCTTCTCCAGGTCCCATATTTCTTGGCAACTTTCATGATGTAGTTTTTAAAAGAGGATCCCATAAAAACATATAGGACTGGGTTGAGGCAGCTGTGAAAGAGTGCAATGCTCTCTGTGATTTGGATGGCGACGTCCATGCGTTTGCTTGTGTCGCAGTCGGTGATCAGGGAGTAGATAATGTCTATGGCTTGGCAGAACTTGACGATGTTATAAGGCAGCTGAGTGACAATGAAAACTATAACCACTGTGAGCAGAACTTTGAGGGGTCGAGATTTTTTAATGTTTGGCATCTTGATGAGTGTCCTTGCCGTGATGAAGTAGCACACTCCCATAATGAGAAAGGGTATCACAAATCCGATGCAGATTTCCAGCATTTGAATTGATGCTTTCATTGATGTTTGTAGGTGGTATGGGAAGATGGGAACGCACATAGCCTTGTGATTTACGGTATAAAACACCAGCTCGGGTATACTCAGTAAGATGGCAGCCGTCCAGACACAGAAACAGATGAACCTGCATGATTTTCCCACTCCTGAGTGACTTGGGGCTTTAGTTACTGCCCAGTATCTGTCTATGCTGATACAAGCCAAAAACTGCATTCCAGAAACAAAGTTGATTGTGTACAAGGCCGACGTGACCTTGCACATGATTTTCCCTAAAACCCACCCATGAACTGCATTAACTGCCCAAAAAGGCAGTGTGAATAGGAGGAGTAAGTCTGCCACCGCCAAGTGCAGGATGTACACATCTGTTTTGGTTCTCTGCTTCTTGTAACAGGCGTAGATCGCCACTACTGCGGAGTTTCCTGCAACTCCAATGATGAAGGCTACTGTGAAGAAGGCCGGCAGGAAAACTTTTGCAAAGTTTCTGACCTCTTCTTTTACACAGACCACTTCATACTGACTATAGTCATGAGTGCCGTTTATTTCATTGTCCTCATAATAGTAATCTGTTGATAGGTTGTGTTCCAAAGCCATGGCTGCAACCTAAATGGCAAAAAGTATACAGGATGTTCATTTTAATGTTGCTTAGAAGGAAACACTTTTTTTCATCGAGCATATGTTTTGTTCTCTTACTAGAGAAGAGATAGTTGCCATAACATACACGAGCATGAATCTGCCATCCTTGGAAATCCTTTGATGGAAGCCACGTTAGAGTATATCCCCAGGACTAGTTTCTTTTCTTTCTTTTTTTTCACTTTATTTTTTCCATCACCATTTATCTCCTCTATGCCCTCTTCCACCCCCTATGTGCAGGAGCTGGGATTTACACAGGGAAGCTAAAAATAATACCCTGGGGAATTTTCTTAACCATTAAACCCTAAATAAACGTCATGACTTCTTTTGTGAAAATAGTTCTTAAAATATGAAAATTTAGTCAGATTTCAACTAAAAGGAATCAAAAATGTTATAATTTTTACATATACAAGTTTGTGATTCTCATGCAGTATATTTACAAGTTAAAATAAAAATAATTTTAATTACTTAAATTTATTTTCTTTTTAGGTTATTTATTTTAAAATAAGTTTCATAAGTTATCTCAGCATTTATCCTCAGTTTCATTAGTTGGCAGTTTCATTAGTTGGCAGTCTCTAGTTAGCCTTCCTCCAAACCCTGTCACTACATGCTTATTGTATACTGTTTGGTGGCACTGTCATTTCACTAGTCACGTAAGCCTTAAGCTTGTGCCAACCTGACTTCTCTCTTACATTCATCCATGATTTCTCGTCAGCCCTTAAATTCTGATTTTACCTTCCAAATAGATCTTGAATCTGTTCTTTCAGTCTGTGCTCTGTGACACATCCACACAATTCGACCGTCGTTGCCTCTTACCTGGTCTACTGCAGTATCTTCCTAACTAGCATCCTACTGTTCTTGGTCTTCCTGCCACCTCCTTGTCAAACACATTTTTCTTCCCGCCATTAGAGTGCTGTCTCTACAATGCCAGTCTGTAACTCCCCTGCTTAGCTCCTCGCCTGAAAGACCCATCTCTTCACCTGAGACTGTCCAGGCTCCTTAGCAAGATATCCAAGGCTCCCTCCATAATGTGGTCCTACCCATGGTTCCTGCCACATCTCTCTACTAGGGGCCCAGCACCACAGAAAGTACTAGTACTGAGTTGCCAGTGGTCTGCTGGCACACCCCGTGCTGGAGCGCAGGTACTCATTCTGTTCCTTTATCTCATATACTATTTCCTGCCCTTCCCCCGAAGGGCCAATTCCTACTCAGTTAACTTGGATGTTACCTACACAGAAGACTTTCCTGATCCAAAAGCTGTAGACGTACCTCTTAGAAAACTGACCCCATTCTAATTAAAAAGATGTGTTTCCCAGACTACATTTTCCCTCTATGCCCTAAGTTCCCTAAGACTGTAATTAATACCTTATAGAGTGCCTGGTGCACACTAGCTGCTCAGTAAGTATCTGTCAAATATAGGTTTTTACCTGCAGATATAAAGGTGTTACTCTCCTGCCTCACCAGTGTTATTCTACTGTTTTGGCTCTTAATACCCAGTAGTAGTAGGATAAGCTTACACAGAATTCACAAGTTTTCAAATGTATTTAATATTGTCTTTCAATGTTTTTATCAGAGTGCTGAGTTTTGTTTAGCTTTTTTCTTAGCCTTTCTGTCTCCCTTTGGTTATTTTTGTCCTTGGAAGAATCCCAAATATTCTTATAGAACCATGAATGAAAACACTATTTTCAGAACAGTGTGACAACTTATGGTACAATTTCAAAAGAATATTCTTATACTTGCTAACATTTTTGGGATGAGTAAAGCAAAGTAAAGAAGCCCTCCCTGGAAAGATACCATGTAAAAGAACTACTTTTATTATGTAAAAAGCAGGTGCCAACAACTTAAAATGACTACTATTATCCTTACTGTTATTTGAAAAGTTCCAATCTGGAAGAGTTCCCTGGTTTCTATTAATTATTAACACAATGATGAACTTTGCTCTTTCCTTCTCTTTTATCACAGAATCTTGAACGTGATAAGGAACAATGTGGCCAAATAATGTAAGATATTAAGGAAGGATATTTTAAAATCATAATTAATCTTGCTAAAAATGTGCATAAATAGGAGTAGGAAAGGAAATTATTTCCAGAAATGATCCTCTGGCTGAGGCATAGAATCACATTTAGATGTCTCTGTAATTACCACAAGAACAAAAAAATTAGTGTTTGTAAAACAAAGCAAAAAAATTGGCATAGCAAAATCTGCTTCTCATTAATAAAATTTCATAGGCAATAGTGGTATTAAAATAATACATATTTTCTTCTTGTTATATTCAGATAATTGTTTTAAGGTTCAAGTGTATAAGTGTATAGCTGTTTTCAAATAGCTCTTCTTTGCACATAAACTTAGTTTAGACTTTTATGCATAAAGACTCCCTCTGCAGAAGTAAATATACAAAGTCTTTGAGCTTTTAAAATAAATCATATCCTAGTCAGAATGAGAAAAGAAAAACCAACCTGTTTCAGTGGGCAGACGGGAGCAGTCTTGAGTGCAGAGTGAAATCAAATGACCTCTCTTAACTGGGGCTACTTTTGTTTTCGTTTTATACCCCGCCTTTGTCTTGCATCCAAGAGGGCTTTCCTGAAATTTAACCTCGTGAGCACTTGATCTTTATGAATAACCCATCCCATGAAACCAAATTCAAGTTCTTAAGCATCTTAGGATACAAGCCTGGGAGAATTTCATCTTGTTTCAACAACTACAGACCTTTCCAAGTTTCCACTTAGCTGAAGGCAACCAGAAGTGCTTGTGCTTAGGAACTGCCTCCAAGCCAAAAGAATTCACCGAGAGCATCCAGGCAGCTAAGGAGCACTTGTAGGCAGCACCAGAAAAGGGCCCTCTAAAGCTATCTGCCCTCGGGAGGAAAACGAAAACGATTTTCACCCAGAAAATTATCTTTCTGAAGGCTAAATTATCAAAGGCTAAATTCTAAGTAATCATTGGGCATATCTAGAAGTTAACTTTTTTATGCCCCATGAGTATTTTACTTAAGCTATGAGGCTCCTCTTTGCTTCACTGTCCTCCTGTCCTGGACCTCGGGGTGCGCCTCCCCCCCCCCCCCC